TATTACTTTTTTAATAAAAGATCATACATACTGGACAGCCCTGTAAAAGTAACTTTATAAATGAACAAAATGTGGTTAGAAATATGAGTAAGGTTTTGTCCTAAAGCAAAAGCAATGGTAAGAAAATGTTCATACATTGCTCAGACAAATTAGATCTACTTCAAGATGTGGGCAGTAATCTAGGGTAAAAGGCAGAAGGTTTTAGGAAACAGAGCAAGTCTAGAAAGGGGCTGCTCCCGAGGAACCTGGCTTGGAACCGATTGCACCAAAGACCCAGGGACTGGGGAGAGACCTTTACCTGAGTGGCTTGTGCCAGGGAATCCTGTGTGACTTTGGTCAGTTTCCGTAGATATCGTCCATAAATAACAGCAAGGATGGACATTGGAGGCACAACACTCAAAACAAAAGTGGCCAGATTAGGCGACACAAAAAACTGTCAAAACCAAAAACCAGAAAAGTTACACAGAACAGCAAGCGATTCTCCTTACCTGCTCTAGTTTGATGTTGTTACTTGTGCCTTTTTTAAAATAAACAGGTCTGCTTAAATGTGTTCAAAACTATCGTCTTTAAAATTAAAAAAGAAAATGGTATTGCCATCCTTCTGAAGACACATAGCAAATCACCCAACAGCAGTTCAACAGTTTCTGTGTGTATCACTGAGTGACATTGATGACAGTCTTTGACTTGTCCAGCTATCCTCACTGTCCTTTTCTGAGTTGTTGTTTCCTGGTGAACACAAATTCACTGCCCCTTAGGCTATTTTCTAAGCTTCCGAGTTGCTATCGGCATCTGAGTCCATTACAGACAGTTCTTAAAAGAGCACAGTGCTCAAGGCACACATTTCTTACTAGTCCAGCTAAACTATTGTTTGGTTTTAAGAAGATCTCAGGGAATATTTTTGGTTTAAGGTTCAAAGATTATTTCAGGGCAATATTTTCAGGGGTTCACCCCATCTTCATGGCTCCAGGAAGTCTATAGTCCATAGACATTTTTATTTGAATTCTGCATTTTGATCAGGATTCTTCTAGACTCAGATCAAATGGTCAGTAATATCCCCTTACAAATGGGAACCAGACAAGGATGCCTTCAATCACTTCTTGTACCTAACACTGCATTAGAAGTCCTAGCTAAAGGAATAAGGCTGAAAAGGGAATCAAAAGGCATCCAAACTGGCAGGGAAGAAGTAAAACTATCCCTATTTGAAGATGATCTGATCCTATACATAGAAAATTCTAGTGACTTAGCAAGTAAGCTACTGAAACTAATTCAGAGGGTCAACAAAGTGATCCGGAACAAGCTCAACCTTCAAAAAGCAGTTGGATTCGTTTGCAACAATCAAGAACTCTGAAAAGGAAATAAAGAAACGAAAACAATTTACAATAGCTACCAAAAAGAAAAATTGCTTAGGAAAAAGCCTAACCAGAGATACAAAAGACTTTTGTGAAGAAAACTAGAAAAGAAACTAAAAGACACCTACGTAAATGGAAGACTGTATTGTGTTCAGGAATAGAAGGCTTGACATTGTAAAAATACTAATATTGCCCACGTGATCCATAGACACAATGCAATTCTGATCCAGATACCATCAGTATTCTTTAAGGACATGGAAAAACCAATGACTAATGGAAAAGAAAGGAGCTCTGGTAGCATACTGGGTACGAATTGGGCTGTGAACCTCAAGGTCGGCAGTTCGAAACTACCAGCTGTTCCATGGGAGAAAGACGAGGCTTCCTGCTCCCATAAAGATTTACAGCCTCAGAAACCCTGTGCAGGGTCGCTAGGTTTCGGAACTGACACCACGGCACAGAACAACAACAAAATATGGAAAGGAAAGAGACCCTGGATAAGCAAGACTACTGAAGAAGAACAAAGTAGTTGGTGCGTAGCGTCTAGGATATTAAAGGCTCGTGAGTGGCCCTCTAAGGTGCAGCTATTGGTCTCTCCCTGTGCAGAAGAAAGAAGAGTGATAGAACTGAGGATGCTTGGAAGCAATTAGTCCAGTGGACTAATGGAATATGTGAACATCAGTCTTCCTGACTCAGACCCACTACTCAGAAACCAGAAGAATTAGAAGCTACCACTACCAACTACTCTGAAAGGAATCCCATTAGAAGGTCCCAGTTACAGCGGCAGAGTAGGTGGAACAAACCTCAAAATGAATTTTAAAAGACCAGGCTTACTGGTCAGAAAGAGACTGAGGAAGCTGGGACTGTGGCCCTTGACCATCCTTCAGGTCTGGAAAGGAACTCACTCTCACGGCCCTACTTTCAGACAAGCAGTAGATACGTATATGGCGGGGAAACACTAGTAAGGTATACTAACTATGAGTGACAGACAGTCAAGCATTCAAGATCAAAGTGCAGCATGCGCCTTACGGACAAAGGTGAGAAGGGTGGCAAGATGGGTGCAATGGAACCAGGAACCCCAGGGAGGAAGTGGGTGACTGTTGTTGCAGGAAGGAGTTGCCATCATTGAGATGAAACAAAGTGTAGGATTTGGTCAATGTAAAACTCATGATTTTGTCTGTAAACCTTCACTCAATTCGCAATTAAAAGATTTTCAAAAATAGACAATCATAAAAAATATTCAATTGAAAAAAAAAAGAACAAAAGTAGGAAGTCTCACAGTTTCTCATTTGAAAACCTATTATGCAGCTATGGTTGTCAAAACAGCCTAGTTTGATACAATGACAGACACACACACCAACAGAGCAGAACTGAGAACCTGGCAGTAAATCCATCTACCTATGGGCAACTGTTCTTCAACAAAAGGCAGGGATCCATTACATGAGGAAAGGAAAGTCTTATTTTTAAACAAATGCTGGCAAAATTGGATGTCCACCTGAAGAAAATGAAACAAGAACCTTATTTCACATCATATACAAAAAATAACTCAAGATGCATCAAAGACCTAACTGCAAAATCTAAAACTATAACGTTCATCAAAGAAAAGACAGGAGCAAGCTTAGGAGCTCTCATTTGTGGCGTAAGGAGACTGCCAAGTACAACCTAAAATGCTCAAGCATTTAGGATTTTCTAAAAAAATTAAATACTTGTGCACATCAAAAGGCTTCTTCAAAAGAGTAAAAATACTGGAAAAAAATATTTGGCAACAAAGGACTGATCTCAGATATCTATACCATCAACTCCTCACCAATAAAAAGACAAACAAATCCAATTAAAATATAGGCAGAGGGCATACACAGGCACATCACCAAAAAAGGCTTCAGGCAGCCAAAAAACACATGAAGAATAATTGCCATGATTAGCCATTTGTGGTTGTGTGTTGTTGAGTCGATTCTGACTCATAGCAACCCTGTACAGGGTTTCCAATGCTGGAAATCTTTACAGGAGCAAAAAGCCTCATCTTTCTTCCACAGAATTGTTGGTGGATTCAAACTGCTGACATTGCAATTAGCAGCCAATGTGTACTCCACTACGCTCGTTGTTGTTGTTGTTGTTGTTGTTAAGTGCCATTTCAATTCACAGTGACCCTGTATAGGATTTCCCAGGAACGGCTGTTGGGTTTGAAAGGCTGACCTTGTGGTTAGCAGTGCACACCTTATCCTACAGTGCCACACTAGGATTCCTTGTTGTTGTTGGGTGCTGTTGAGTCGGTTCCGATTCAGAGCAACCTTATGCACAGCAGAATGAAACACTGCCCGGTCCTGTGCCTTTTTGTTCTGAAGTGCAGTCGAGTCACTCTGAGTCACAGCGACCCAGCATAGTTCTAAGGAGCGGCTGGTAAATGTATGCAAATCAAAACAATGATGCGATAAGGCCTCACCCCAGCAATAACAGAAAAATTCAACAAGACAGAAAACAGCATATGCTGCTGAGGCTGTGTAGAGATTCGAACTCTGATATACCGTCGCTGGGAATGTAACGTGGAGCAACCACTGTGGAAAGGGGGCGTCCTTAAAATGCTGGAAACAGAAATACCATTTGATCCAGCAATCTCATCACTAGGTAAATGTTGTTAAGAGCCGAGGAGCCGGTTTTGATGAATGGAATGGGGTTTCCAAGGAATGCTGGTGGGTTTGAACTACCGACCTGGTGGTAGTCAGTCTGGTGCTAATCCTAGAGCACCACATCAGGACTCCTAAAGACATAAATACCAGAACATGAACAGATACATGTCCACCCAAGTTCACTGCAGCATTCCTCACAATGGAAAAGAGGTGGACACAACTTAAGTGTCCATTAACAAATGAATGGATCAACAAAGTATTGTCCTTATACAAAATGGGATACCATACAATGTTAGAGAATAACAACGAATTCACAGAATATCTCATAATGCAGATAAATCAGGAGGCCATTATGCTGAGGGAAATATTGTCTGAGTTCACTATTATAAAGAGCCAAGCAAAGGATTATACACATAAAAAAGAAATCTTTGATGGTAACTAGGGGTGGGAGGGAAAACCACTACCAGATAGATAATAGACATGTATTCATCTGGGTGGAAGGTGGTAAATCAGCGAAACCAGGGGGTGATCAACAAAATCCCACTAAAGAGAAGGAAAACCGAAAGAAGTGCACAAGAGTTGCAGACAACAAAGACAAACACTATTACATACACAAATTTGTATTACCAAAAATAACAATCATCAATATACAAGTGGATACATAGGCAGATAGGAGCTACCTCCACAACCGTACGTAGGTTTGGCAGACAATGTTTCTACAAAAGTTACCTGTATGTGCTGTAAATATATCCATGTTTCTAAGAGAGCAAACGAGGGGTAAAGCTTGGCCAACATCTTAGCTATAATCAAACACCTGTTGAGAAGGAGTCTCTGAGTCACTGTACCTGGAGACTTGAGACTATGGACTATGATCGAGGAGGACATAAAGATCAATTTGCATAAGACAGTTCACAAAGATGATGTTCTACATTCTACTGGGGACTTAAAAGCTTGTGAGTGGACATTTAAGGTAAAACTATTAGTCTCTCCCTATCTGGAGCAAAGAAGACTCAAGAAAACCCCAGGCACATGCAAACAATGTGTCCAATGGACTAATGGACAACACAAACCTCAACTTCCACCAGCCCCAGACCAAGCTGGATGATGCTTAGCTACCACAGCTGATCATTCTCTAAAGGATCCCAACTGGATTGTTGTTGTCGTTAAGCTCTGTCGAGTCGGTTCTGACTCACAGCAATCCTGATAGGGTTTCCAAAGAGCAGCTTTGAACCGCCAATCTTGTGGTTCACAGTCTAGTGCAGGACCAGACCAGGAGTCTGGTCGTGGATAGAGTGGGAAAAAAATACAGAAAACTCAAAATCCTAAAAAAGAGCAGACCCACTGGTCAAATAGAGACTAGTGGAACCCAAAGACTAGGACAATTAGACACCCTTCAAACCTGGGACTCTCTCCAGGGGCCCAACTTCTAGCCAAACAACGTACAGGCCAAGGGTAACCAAGGAGTCCTGTGTGGCGCTGTGGACTAATGTGCTGGACTTCAAAGTCTGTTTGAACCACAAGGTTGGTGGTTCGAGCTCACCTGTTACTCCTTGGAAACCCTATCCAGAGTCGCTATGGGTCGGAACTGACTAAATGGCACTTAACAACAACAGGACGACTAAGGAGTGGCATTGTAGGAAAAGCACTCGACTGCTAACCATGAAGTCAACAATTCACACCCACTAGCTGCTCTTCGGAAACCCTACACAGGGTCAGAACGGACTCAAAGACACTTAAAAGTAACAACAACAAGGGTGGCGCTGTAAGATAAACACTAGACTGCTAACTGCATGGTCAACAGTTCAAACCCATCAGCAACTCCACAGGAGAAAAGACGAGGCTTTCTGCTCCCGTCAAGATTTGCAGCTTCAGAAACCTCTACAGGGTCACTATGAGTTAGAATGGACTTGATGGAACGGAAAAGGAGGTGTACAATCCTTAGAACACCCAACTGTGCAAAATCAAAAGCACAGGATTTGCTCCGGGATAAAGCTCAGAAAGCAGGAGTGGAGCGGCAAAAAGCGCAAATGGAAATGATTAACACAGGAAGGAGAAGAGCACATCGTAGAAAACATAGTGAAAACAAAACAAAACATGTAGGAATTGCTATACTCAATTGCACTGAGTGGAAACGTAAATTGCTCTGCAAATGTCCACTCAAATCACAAGGTTTTTAAAAAAATAAATAAATAAACGTATTCCATTCCTACTTGGGCATGAGGGGTGTTCAATAATGGTAGCTGGGCAAGGGTGTAAGCCCCAGGCACTACACAATGAACAACAGGAAGTAGAAAAGACACACTAAACACGTTAACGCGATGTAACATCACTCATCCCACCTCCTTCCAGTCTTTCTTGGTTCCATTCTTCCTTCTTTCCCAACCCTTCTGAACTCTATCCATGGGTAAGTGAGCTTGATCTCGAAGGACTGAAGTAGTGGTCCACACACCCCATGACCCTATACCACGCCATGGCCCTGCATGCTCCCAGAGAACATCTGAAGCTCACCTCAAGCTTGGGAGGCCAGCACAGGCCAAGCCTCAGCCAGAAGGCAGCAAATGAAAACCCGTAAACGTACCATCATGCCGATGCCAACAGAAGCCTGGGCCCCAGCCCGGAGTCCATCTGAAAGGTTTTCAGTCACTGAACGCCCCAGGAGAGCAGTGTCTGAGGAGAGGCGATTTATCAATTCACCTGTTCGGGTCTTGTCAAAGAAAGCAACTTCTTGCCTCAGAACAGAGGAGAATAATGAAGTTCTCAACCGATTCACAATGCGCTGACCTGTAAAAGCCAGAGAGAATGGGTGCCACGTGGGCACAGTCGTGACTAAGGGGCAGTTGTTTGTCCACAGCAGTCTGACCTGGTGTCATAAAACCCGAGGCTGGCAGCCACTTAGGCAAGTCTAGGGGGCCATATCACATTAGTGGAAATGAACTGTACCTCAGCCCTGGAACATGAATATCCCTATTAATAAGGAATATTCACTTTCATTAGAAACCACAGACTCTGGATGCTGGGGAGAGAAGGTCACGATACATAGAATATGACTGAGAGATACTTAAAATTATATTTACACTCAAGTTTTGCTACATTAAGTCCTCAAAACCTGATTTTGTTCTTCCTTGACAACGCTTTTCTGTACTGAACTTTCAAATGGCAAGAACTTAGTTAATGATCTAGATATTTTATTAGCTAAATGGTGAGCAACAGACTTCAAGTCTGGTGTCCTGGGCTCTATCATTATTGTAATAATTCCCTGCCTTATTGGCAACTAGTTCTCTGTGTGGATCTATTGTAAAATGTATCAGCTGAGGGAGACAGCGGGCATCTGACGCTTCCTGAAGAGTTCCAGGATTCCAGCCTCATCAGCCTGCTCTCAAACCTCCCTCCCAGCTCCACCCTAGTTCATATGAATGAATGAGCATCTAATTAACTCCTGACACAAAATAACCCTATAACCCCATGTCGAATCAGGTACTGGGATGGGTCCCCGTGAATGTGATGCCTGGGAAGGAAAAGGCTGAAGCTGGGAGCAGTAGGAGGTGTGGAGGCCCAAGCCAAGCCCACACGATCCCCACATGTCCTTGTTCGTTACCTGCGGTCTGCATGAGGTAGACACGGATGGCATTAGCAGCAGCTCCACACACAAACACGCCACTGAATATAAGGCAGAGGCTGGTCAGGTGGCTGGTGTAGTCCCCAGTGGGGTCTGTATAAATGACATCGATGATTTTCCCCAGGAAGAAAGGGGCGGACATGGTGATTACACTGGACACAGTCAAAAACCCAACAGCCACTGGAAGACAAGAGCACCGCTGTCAGGGCTTGGGAAGGGTCGGGGTTTCATTCTTCTGTCTTTTGCTTCTGCAAATGTTGCCTGATAATGGGGTTTTAAATTCTTTGTATTTAATTAAATGTTCTTCAGAGTATGTATGAATATCAGTTGCTAAGAATCTTTCTCCCTTTGGGCCTATATCCCTGATTCAAAAAACCGCAAACCAGACTCACAACAATCTTATAGGACAGCGGAGCACTGCTCCTACGGTTTCTGAAACCAAAAACCTACACAGGAGCAGAGAGCCTCATCTTCCTTCTGCAGAGCAGTTGCTGGTTTTGAACTGCCAATTTAGTAGTTAGCAGCCTAATGCTTAATTCACTACACCACCAGTCTTCCTTCTCTGACCAAAGGGAAGCACAAAATGAGCTCCAAGGCTGAAAACAAGTAACAGGCAGTAAAGGCTTTACTGGTCATTTCAAAGCAGAGAAACATTAACCTACTCTGGTGGTCCCTTCCTCACCAGCTGTAATCAAGAGCCAACTATGAAAATCCATCCTGGCCTCCGTTTTTGGTCTTGGTGTTCAACTTAGATTACTTTTTGTTGTTGTTTTTTACATTCATGCAATATATTCTTATTTTTTGAAGCCCGACTACGTCTTAGCTATATCTTCAGATCAACTAAGTAAAATTCTTGGGTTTTTTGTCTAGGATTTCAATCCCTTTATGCAACCTTTCGAAAGCAGTTGTGGGCACTCATGAAACATGTATGGAAGTTCCTTCCTAATAATACTGCTTAGGGGAAAAGCTCCTGGAATATCCTGGTGTGGAGCTCTGGGTTAATGCGCCACATTGCAAAGCCGTTAGGTCGGCAGTTCAAGGTCACCAGCTGCTCCCTGGAAACCCTCTACAGGGTCACTATGGGTTGGAAATGACTCGGCGGCACTTAACAACAACAACAAATGTGTAAAAAAAGAAACACACAACTCATGTACCTAAAACACCAACTAGAGGGCTGTTGTGAAGCGCTGTTGAGTTGGTTCCGACTCATAGCAACCTTGTGTAGGGTTTCTGAGGAGCGGCTGCCTTGCAGCATCGTGCATTATTGTACAGTACCACACCAGGAGTGCCGTCGAGTCAGCAGACACCTATTAAACTGGGTAGAGAGCAAGGCAATATAACAACAAGTGGGGGTCAGTATGATCAAGGCAAAGTGATAAAGGCTAAAGCACCACAGAATAAGCATTGGACCGCAAAGTCGGTTTGAATCGTAAGGCTGCCAGTTCAAACTCACCAGCCATTCCTCAGAACCCTAAATAGGGTTGCTATGAGTCAGAAGCTACTCAACAGCACTTAATAACAACAACAAGGAAGACGCAGGGAGGAGCACAAAAAGGAATAGAACAGAGCTCAACACCATCATATACACAACAAAGACAGTGTCCACGTGAAAACAAAGACAGACACAAAACTGAACAGGAGTAGGGAGGCAAATGGGGCTATGGTGGTGGTGGTTATGTGCCGTGGAGTCGGTTCTGACTCATAGCAACCCTGCACAGGGTTTCCGAGGCTGTAAATCTTTGTTTTTAAGTGCCATCGAGTCGGTTCCGACCCATAGCAACCCTGTATAGGGTTTCCAAGGAGCAGCTGGTGAGCTTGAACCGCCGACCTTGCAGTTCAAACAGCTTTGCAGTCTGGCACATTAACCCACAGCGCCACACTTTACGGGAGCAGAAAGCCTCATCTTTCTCCCGTTGAACAGCTGGTAGTGCCAAACTGCTGACCTTGCAGTTTGCAGCCCGATTCGTAACCACTATGCTACTTGTGGTTGTTAAGTGCCATCAAGTCGATTCCGACCCACAGCAACCCTGTATAGGGTTTCCGAGGAGCAGCTGGTGAGTTTGAACCGCCGACCTAGCAGTTCAAATGGCTTTGCAGTCTGACGCATTAGCACACAGCGCCACCCCTGGACTCCAATGCTACTACAGCTCCTTAAATGGGACTATACCGTGACTACATATTGAACATAGGTTTGACGGAGGATATGTCCACATATGTATTTATATTTATAGATTTATATTTCAAACATATCCATGAATCTAGTAGTATACATAGGCTGTAGTGCTGTGGGGAAATGCACAGCGGATTGAACAGCAAGGTCATGGTTCAAGCTTACCAGCTGCTCCTCAGAAACCCTAGTCTGGGTCGCTAGGGGCGGAGACTGACTCAATGGCACTTACCAACAACACTGGTTGTCAAGTTATACAAACTCCCTTTGTTGTTAGGTGCTGTCAAGTTAGCTGCACCACAGCATCACTTGCTGTTGTTAAACGCCATCCGGTAGGTTCCGACTCACAGTGACCCTGTAGAGCGGATGGAGACTTCGGACCATAAGCCTTGCAGTTCAAACCAACCTGCAGTCGGGTGCTTTTCTACGCCACTCCCAGAGTCCATAGCAACACTGTGTACAACAAAACACAACCCGACACTGCCCATCTGCACCAGTCTCACAATCACTGCTGTGCCAACCACTGTGCCAATCCACCTCCTTGGAAGTCTTTCTGTTTTTTCACTAACCCTCCACTTTATCAAGCATGGTGTCCTTCTCCAGGGACTAGCCCCTTCTTAACAATATGTCCAAAGTATGTGAGATGAAGTCTTGCGAGTCTCACTTCTAAGAAGCATTGTGGCTGTACTTTTTCCAAGATGGATTTGCTTGAAACTCCCTGTTGTTGTTGTTAAGCGCCGTCAAGTCGGTTCTGACCCACAGCGAGCCTGTCGAGGGTTTCTGAAGGAATGACCCAGTACCCTAATTTGGGTTTCAGAAAGCACAGTCATTCTAAACTATCTTCTTGCTTACTCGGTTCACTTACTTTATCAGCATATTCATTTTGGCCTCTTCACAGCGTGACCTAAATGGTCTCTTCAGAAAACCTAACAAATTCAGCAATAGCTCTCAGTAGGCACCCTGTTCTAAAAACTGTCCTAATCTCAAACCACACAACGCCTTATTGAAATTTGAGTAAGAGATGCCCTCCTAAATTGTGAACATATACACTAGCAACACATGTTGGGATGAAACAGGTAGGTAAACATGCACCTTCCAGAGGCTAAACTTGGAACTTCCTCCATGGGACAAGTCCCCAGAGCATAAAGAGCCTCCAGGTTCAGATCAATGTTATACTTTCAGAACACACCGAGAGCCCATCAGCTCAAGCTCACAAGATCCAGTTTTGTTCACTAAGTTCACTCCTCCCCTTGCCTGGAGTGATTAAAGCCATCCGCAGCCTCTTTTATCTGTCGGGCACAGCACCAAGGCCCTCACAATTACTTCTTATCCTAATTAGTCCACACTGGGCTCCTTCTGGCCAAGGCGATAAGCTGAAAAGTTACTGGTGAAAAAAAGGGCTAGAGACAACTTCAAAGACCACAGCTGCAGAAAGATAGCAGTGAATTTGTAAGCAAAGCAGGAAAAAGGGCTGGTGAAGGGGCAGGCAGATTAGAAGACACTGGTTCATATTTTAGGAGAGGAATAGAAATAATGATAAAAGTGTACCACCACAAAATAGTAAACATTTAAAATGGCAGACTATGTTTTCAAAGTTTCTCATACGAATTAATATCAAAATATTCTGGTTGTGCAGTTCAGGTATTGCTCAGCAAACTGCTGAAGACAGGCAGAAGTTGTATTAGTCAAATATATAAGTGAATTTTCTAAAAAGGGCTTTGCATTTGTTTCTCTAACAACTAACCAATAAACATTGTAATTCACTCTCTACAACTCAACTTTTTGCATACCTTGATTAAAAAATACACATGCACAAATTGCGCTTTATCGCTAGCATTTCAAAGAGATGTGCTGACATCTCATGATATTAATTTAGCATATATAGAAAATGACTTTTGAGGAAACCATGTCTTAATAAGCTTTTCATCAGATTCCATTCTTATAATATGCAATAAGTATTTATTACTTTTAAAAAATTTTTAAAGAAAAAAAAGTAAAAGTAGTGTAACAACCCCAGGCTATTTCCTCAGATTACATATTCACGATTTTTCATTAGGGCAGATCAAAATAACTCCTGATCTTAACATAAAAGGATATAAAGTGTCTGCCTGGTTTATGGCTGTTCCTTAACATAATAGAATGGCAAGACACATAGGAACAGGGTATGAGGACCATGAGGTGGGCAGGGCTGGGCTGCCCTGGACACAGCGTAAGCCTGTTCACACACACACTACCAAATCCTACACCTAAGAAAACCTTTCTGACATCTAATATTTCAAAAACAAAAGAGGCCTGAGTTTCCATATATGTCCTTTGAGTTATATATGAGGGGAGGGAGTCTGCAGTTCCTGGGGTCCAAAGCCTCAGTTTGGACCTGCCTGATCTCTTACACCTTCCTCAAAAGCACTCTACATTTCTGCTCTGTGGCACACCCCACAGAGAGCTGGAGATAGAAAGATGATCAGACACAATTCCTGTCTCAAGTAGGTCACAGCCCTGTGAGAATAACTAAGCTCAAAACTCCCCTTTATGAGAAAAATATTCGTATTGTTATCAAACTCTACACACAATCAAATGAACTATGAAGTGATTCTCTTTAATACTTAAGTGATTCCAAGACTCCCCAAGCTTCACTATTCAGACCCAACCAGGAAGTAGCTCTAAGTTTGTCAGTTTCTCTTCTGATAACTTCACAGATCCTCTTTCAAAGCTTTCATCACAGATGCAAGTTTATCTCTGCTCATAGGATTATGACCTTAAGGTTTTCTGGCCACTAAGATGGAAACCTGGGAGGGTAGTGGCTCCATATGATAAGCACTGGGTTGCTGTGGTTACAGCCCACCAGCCACTCCACTGGTGAAAGATAAGGCTTTCTGCTCCTGAGAGGATTTAAAGCCTTAGAAACTCTATACAGATAGGATGGTAAGGGTTCCAATTTGCCGGCACTTAACAAGATGGAAATCCCCACAGGGTTAGGAAATGTATTTCTTTCTCCTTCCTAAGGCCTAGCACACAATCAAATGAAAGAAGACCGAGAAAGTTCATATTTTACAAGCCCTTGCATTGAAAGCATGTCCCCATTTATGGCTAAAAGAGGTGGTAGTGTGCCATTGAGTCGGTTCTCCCGGGGAACAGCTGGTAGTTTTGAACGGCTGACCTTGAGGTGAGCAGCTCAATTTGTAAGCACTATGCTATGCTGGGTAAGGTGGAGGGTCAGAGAAAAAGAGGAAGACCCCTAACGAGATGGATCGGCCAGGTGGCATCATTGATGGACTCAAGTGTGGCAGCGGTAGTGAGGTTGGCCCAGGATCGGACATTGTTTCGTTCTGCTGTGCATGGGGTCGCTATGAGTCGGTTCCGACTCGATGGCACCTGACAACAACAACATGCTACCAGAGCTCCTTAAAAGATAGGAGCTATAGGAAATGGTTCACTTGTAAGCTGTTTCTAAAAGCAGATTCTTTTTTTTTTTTTTTTAGTATTATTTAGTTAGGTTCTGATCTATACTTGACTTATCCATGGAGTCTGAACAATGTTGCTTGCTCTGAAAAAGATGCAGAAACTTTACGCTCACCACTTAGGAAACAGCACAAGAGGCAAGCCTGAGATGTTTAGATTGTTTTGCTTCTTGTGGAAATGTTGACTTTGATAAACTTGCCTAAAGTAAAAAGTGTTTTTACAAGTCGTACAGGTATGTTTTCAGTTGATTTAAAAAAAAAAAAAAAAAGAAAAAAATCCAGATCATTCTTAGAATGCTGCTAAAGCCAGAACTGATGTTGCAACTAAATTGGTGGCAGAACAGACCCAAAGATTCCAATCATGAGATACAGCGCTGCTTGTACTTAGAGGTTCACAAGTTGGGAAACCAAACAGAAATCAAATTTGCTAATGTACTCAGCTAACCTGGAAGTTCCCAATTTTTGCAATATAACACTGAGACGCGTTACCCTAAAGTTTGGAAAATGGTACAACGAAAGAGGGACAGTAGATGCTCCCTGTCCTCTTTGCTACCCCTTCAGGTCCCTCCAGGTGGCTCCAGATAGAGGAGCTTTGCACAGAGTCGAACAGGAGGAAAGGAGGAAGGAAAATGGGAAGATGACGGGACAAGCGTCAAATGCGGAAAGCCGGCCAGCCCCACGCAGGACACAGCACAACGCACGCCTACCTGTCAGCCTTCCGCGCTCAGGGTACGCCAAACCCAGAAGTTTCTTCGCGTCCGATCGCCCGGCCACTGAGTGCTGCAGCCCGGGGCGGTCTCCGGCAGCTGCCACTGCTGCTGGCGCCACTGACCCACGCCGCCCCGACCCTCCACCGGCCCAGGAAGAGGCCGTGAGGCCGCTTGGGAGCCCTGTGCGCGCCCAGCACCTGCAGGCGCTGGGAAATCGCGCTCGGAGCCCCAGGAGCCGCGTGATGCCCACTGAGTGCCTGGGGACGCATGACGGCCCTGGCACGGTTACAGGCGGCCCGGGGACACAACAGCTTAAACTCCGACCGCCGCCTAATCGGGCGCTCCCCCAGCACTGCAGGCACGCGGTTCCGAGACCCCCGGAGAGTGCCAGCCCCGCACCCCACGGCCGAACGGGCCCCAGGCCCACCGGTTGTCTCCAGGGCCTGGTGGCACCGGCTGCAGCCGGAGACCTCGCGGAGACGGCCGAAAGGAACCGCAGCGGCCAGGAGGAGGGACCGCGCATGGCGCCGAACCAGCACCTCCACCCGACCTCTGCGCCTCCGCCTGGACAACCCGAGAGCACAGACCCCCAAGGCTCCTCCCCTTAGCCCAGGTCGGACGCGCCCACAGGGAGGCTGCCCTCCGCAGGCAGGAGGCGACACAACCGGGATCGCCGCCCAGAGCGAGCGGCTGGGCGTGTGCACAGCTACCGTCTGCCTGCCTGCAGCGACTCGCGCTGGCCCCGGGCGATAACGCTCTGGCCGCCCCGCCTTCCGCGCTGTCACCTCCAGTAGGGGGCCCGGCGCGATCCCCATCTGGCTCTGTGGCCCAGCGCTCCAGCACTCTCCCAGAGCCTCCCAGAGCGGACAGGTCTGCACTTTGTGCCCCGCCATCTCCGCAAGCGACCCTCAGGCGATGGCCGGGTCTGCAAGCGATCCCCTTCGAGCACACCACACTCCTTCACTGGGTGCCCATGCTCAGAAACGTGTGCCCACAGCGCTCCCTGCAATTGTTGCACCCGCGGTGGCGCCCACGCTGGAAGAAGAGAGCACGCCCAGTGCTGCTGGCGGATGCCGCAGGGCAGGGACAGGGGGTGGAGGGCAGCCCCGCTCAGCTACTCGCTCCTGGGAGATTTTTCACGCTCCGCTCCTTGGCCTACCGCACTGAAAGCACAATGAGCCTTTTCTGACGCTTAAGGACAGGACGAAGCAAGCAGACTCGATCAGACGATGCCCGACACAAAGATGAGGCGAAAAGCTAATGAGCTTAGAGAGCGCAGAACCGGAACCTTGTCCTCCAGGGACTGGGTCACCGACTTGTAGCTCCCGGCCCAGCGCCTCATCAAAGGCTGTGTGCAAACACACGGGACAGAAGGGAATCGAGGCAGTTCTGTTTTGAAAGTCTTCTTGGACGAAGGAAGTGTTCGGCAACTATTAAAATGTGGACAACTTTGAGAAAGGAGCAGGGATCTTTTAATAACCTGAGCACGTAGATGCACAGAAGTATAATTGGTCTAGGCAGACCAGCTGCTCCGATCAGTAGAGAAATCAGAATAAAATGTGTGCCTGTGTGTGAATATTTACACAGTTATAACGATTACAACAATTTCTACTTGTACAAATCATTGACATTGATTACATCCTTTAAGTTGTACAAACATTCTCTCACCATTGATTTGGACTCACTGCCTCCTAAACGTCTAATCTGAAAAAGAAATTGCTCTGATACACTGGCAAAGAGAGCCACAGGAGAGCGTCTTAAATAAACCCACGGAATCACAAAGGACACAAGGAGACTTTCCACGATGGAGGTATCTGTGTGCTGTGTTTCAGACACAGGCAGGGGAAAGGCTTGGTTCATACATAAAAATCGTTTTTAAGTGCTATTGAATTGATTCTGACTTATAAAGGCCCTATGGGACAGAATGGAGCTTTGGTAGTGTAGTTGTTACGAATCGGGCCGCGAACGTTAAGGTCAGTGGTTCAAAACTACAAGCCGCTCCACGGGAGAAAGATGAGGCTTTCTACTCCCGTAAAGATGTACACCCTTGGAAACCCTGTACAGGGTCGCTATGGGTCGGAACCAACTCGACGGCACTTAACAACAACAATGGGACATAATAGAACTGCCTTACAGGGTCTTCTGGGCTGTAATCTTTAGAGAGCAGCTCTCCACGGCTTTCTCCAGAAGACTCTCTTATTGGGTTCTGACCACCAATCTTCCCTTTAGCAGCTGAGTGCTTAACCTTCCTGACTAGTGGAGAAAGGTGGAAGGATGTTTTTACAGGGCCAGGTCAACCATGAGGCAAATAAAGCACTCTCCTCAGTTGTAAGATGTATGTGGATACCAAGAAAATAATCAAAATAAATATTTTAGTGCAATACTGTACAATTTAGTGTAAAAGACTTCCAGTAACATGGCGGTCTAAGCAGACGCACTATATGGAGCCTCTACAACAAAGATACCAGACACCAAATAAAATAGACCCAGATGAAAATTTGGGAACCCTGAACTCCAGAGAAAAGGTTAGAGAAGTGATCCTTTGAACAATATGTCTGAAGTATGAGAGACAAAGTCTGGCCATCCTGGCCTCCAAGGAGCACTCTGTCTGCACGTCTTCCAACACCCATCTCTTGGTTCTTTCGGCAGCCCATGGCACTTTCAATATTCTCCTCCAACACCATAACTCAAATGCATCAATTCTCCTACAGTCTTCCTTATTCACTGTCCAGCTTTTGCATGCATATGAGGTTATTGAAAATACCATGTCTTGGGTCAGGCGCACCTTAGTCCTCAAGCTGACATCTTTGCTCTTCAATGCTTTAAAAAGGTCTTGTGCAGCAAATTTGCCTAATGCAATACGTCATCTGATCTCTTGACTGCTGCTTACGTGAGTGTTGATAGTTGATCCTAGAAGAATGAAGTCCTTGACAACTTCAATCTTTTCTCTGTTGGTAAGAATGTTGTTTATTGGTGAGGATTTTTGTTTTTTTTACATTGAGTTGTAATCCATACTGAAGTCTGTGCTCTTTGATCTTTATCAGTAAATATTTTAAGTGCTCTTCACTTTCAGCAAGCAAGGTTGTATCAACTGCATATCGCAGGTTGTTAGTCTTCCTCCAATCCCGATGCCACATTTTTCTTCATAGAAAAATACTTATACAGGTTGAATAAGTATGGTGAAAGAATACAACCTTGTCACAACATCTTTCTTAATTTTAAACCATTCAGTGTTCCCATGTTCTGAAGAACAAATAATCATCAATTAAATACAAACAAGACAAAACAATCTATGATGGTTTGGGGGAGAGGAGGAAATGATTCATGTGCTAGAGGGTAGATACACATTGACACGGGTGATGGGCAGGCAATATGGAACTGGAGGGAGGTTGGCAGAGGAAAGATGGGGGTGGCGGGAGACACAGGGAAGAATACAGTGGTTGGAGTGAATGCAGGTAATTGCTGTTAACTGTTAGTACCTATAGAGGATTACAACCATGTAATGAAGCAAAGTATATGATTTGTTGACTGTAAAACTGATGATCTGCTGTGTAAACCTTCACTCAATTCACAATAAAGAATAAACAAACAAACAAAAAAATAAATACAAACATGACAACTCCACAATGCCCTGGAGAAAACAGATGAAGAAACACAATGAGAGAATGGCTCAAACAAATAACCAAGATGCAGAGCCAGAAAATGTTTCTGAGATAGAAAAGGCAATGCAGCTACCTAAAAAGAATTCAAAAGGATGCTGTTTAGGTATCTTGAAAAGATCTACAGAAAATTTGAAGGATGCAGTGAGAACAAAGAAAAAACATTAGAATGATTCAGGAAAAGACTGCAATAATAGACTAAATCAATGAAAATGTGGAAACAATACAAACCCTGCAATTAGAAATCCAGAAGTTTAATTCTGAGACCTCAGAAACTGACAATACATTGAAGGCGCAAGGAGTAGATTTTAAGCAATGAAAACCTCAGTGAACTTGAAGCTAAATCTCTCAACACTGGGGCAATCAGAAAAAAAAAAAATGAAGAAAGCCTAAGAATTATATAGGACAACACAAAAAGGAACAACTTATGGTGATTTGAATAACAGAACAGGAAGAGACAATAAAAAACACAGAGAAAATCGTCAAAGAGTTGTTGGAAGAAAGCTTCCCTAACATCATGAGAGATGAGAAGGTGAACCCCAAACAGGATAGATCACCTCCCCCCAAAAAAACTCCCTAAGACATATCACAATCAAACGTTCCCAAATCAAAGACAAGGAACAAATCCTGAGAGCAACTCCAGAAATGTGACAAGTTATCTACACAGGAGAACAAATAAGACTAAGCTATAATCTCTCAGAAGAAATCATGCAACCAAGAAGACAAAGGGATGACATATACAAAACTCTGAAAGAAAAAAATTACCAAGACTCATATACCCACAAATGCTGTTCCCCAAATACAATGGCAAAACTAGAAAATTTCATGACAAAACAAAAGGAATTTTTAATGACTAGACCAACTTTACAAAAAATACTAGTGTGTTCTTTGGATTGAGTACCACCAGCAGCAGACAACACAGGATTGTCACACAGGATAACAGTACCCAGAACTCAATCCAGATATAGAACTATCTAAAGTAAAATCGAACCTACAAGACAGAAAATAGGAAACCATACATACCAGTTTATAATTAAGTCAACTATAAACTAAAAAGGGAATAGTGTAGATAGAGAACTTCCACATGGGCAAAGAAGTCAAGTAGATTTCAAGATAAAACAGACTGGTTTAAAAGAGGGGAAAAAATTAATAAATTACAGGGTAATCTGTAATGTACCCAGAAAATTAATATACCCATACATTAAAACAGAAAAATCAGATTGAGTAAATATTATCATAACAAATGTGAAGAAAACCCACAAACAAAATGAACTCAGAGCAGAAAATTATGTGGAACAAAGAAAGTAGTAGCAGCAAACACACAAAATAACAGCAAAATGACAGCAATCAATTCATACCTATTGATAATTACATTGAATGTCAATGAATTAAATGCACCAGTCAAGAGAGAGAGAACAGAATGAATGAGAAAACAGGATCTTTCAATATGTAGTCTACAAGATACACCTCAAAAAGAGGGAAGCAGCCTAAATGCCAATCAACAGAGAAATGGTTAAAGAAACTTTGGTACATATACAAACAATATGCAAAGTTGACAAATAACAATAAATATGCAAAACACCTCACACCATGGATGAACCTGGAGGACATTAAACTGAGTGAAATTAGTCAATCACAAAAAAAACAAATATTGTTCTGATCAATTTTGTACAAAGTTAAGAAAAGTTTTTCTTAATGAAAGAAATGATCTCTGATGGTTCAGGTGGAGGGGTGGGTAAAGGGAAAATTATTCACAGCTAGAGAGTAGACACATGTTAACACGGGGGGACAGGGTAGGCAGTATACAACTAGAGGGAGGGAGGCAAAAGATAGATGAAGGTAGTAGAAGACACACACAGGGAGGAATGCAATAGTGAAAGTATTGGGAACTGCTGGTACCTGGAGGGGATTGTAATCACCGTAATGAAGAGAAGTATAGGATTTGTTGAATGTTAAACTGATGATATGTTCTATTTATCTTCACTCAATTCACACACAAAAAATGTTTTTAATTAGTGTAAAAAATGTCTGATGAACAAAATTGCAATCTTTTAAAGCTGATCTGGTCCTATTCTGTCTCACTCTTCTCATTCCAGTCTCAGTCCTGAAATTTTTATTTGAAATACAGGCGGCTAGCCATGGAGTTGTAGTTTGCCATTAGATTATTAAATTTGTCACAAAAATATTATTTATCTTGAATACTGAGTTTTTAGTTCCCCCTAAAAGTTCTCCTT